AATTTTAGATTGGAGAAACTATAGCTGAAGAAATGATAAGGGAAGGTTCAACTATACATGTGTTATAAAATCAATAGTTTAGCAATTTTGTGATAAACTATTTGATGTATTTAATGAAATTAGCATAAAATTTAAAATTGTTTTATGCCTGCAAAATAGGCTAATATCCAATTTTTGATTAAGATTCAACATTTACTTAATATTCAGAAAGTACAAGAGAGTAACAATTCTAACAATTTAATTTATTTAAGAAAAATAATAATTTTAGAGATACCAATTTATAGTACAGAAATTACTAATAAAAGAAATTAGAATTACATATGTAGTCACAAACAGGTTGCATAACAATGGAACAAAAAATATTATACCTTTTCAAATTACATAACCTATTAAATTCATGTGTATAAATTTTAAATTTGTGTATAAATTCATTAATGTAATTGGATAAATAAGATTCTAAAAATATTTTTATTGAAATAAGTTGTGTTTTGTGGAATGATTGTATGGTTATGTACAAATTTTCAACTTAGGAAGTAATAACATAAAATAAACATAGTTGTGCAAATTACTTGATTGTTTTAGATATATGCCATTATAACAATTGCTTTCAGTACAGTAAATATATTGGGCAACAATCAGTTCCTCTACATAAATCAAATGGATTTATCAAAATAGAAAATACTTTGACTCTCAAAATATTGTGAAATAACCATTTTGGTTTGAAGAAAATAAGTAGTTATCAACAGAACTATAAAACAGTATAATAGATAATAAAATATAATCTATCCCAGAAACAGCAAGAAATGCTAATAAACTATCAACACCATAAGCATATAAAAATAACAAATCTCCAACCAATATACCTTAACCATTTACTTCTAGAATTGGAATTTCTTAGAATACAACAAAAACAACAATCCCATAACAACCTTATTTTGTTGCGAATAAAAAATTATAGTAATAATATCAATAAATTGAAGTATAATAACCCTTAAGTACAAGAGCAAAAAACATAGTTGGAAACATTTTCTCAGATGAAGAATTAACTATTTCTCCAAGAGAAAGAGCTAGAATATAATAATAATGATTCAAAATTATTAAGAATAGATGTGAAGAGCATGAATATAAAATAATTAAATAATAAATTAATATAAATAATATCTCCTCTCAATCTAAATAATTGATTTTATCTTATCATTTCTTTTATTTTTTATTTATAATAGTTCTCCATCTTTCATATCATTAACTTATTTAATAAGATATCAATATTTCTAAAATGATTTTTTCATTATCATAATAATTTTATTCATTTGATTTTTCTATACTAATTGTTTATAAAATTTGACTCTATTAACTTATATCTACTTTTATTTTAATCCTAAATAATAGAATGCAATTAGAAAGATATCTAATACCTCTTTTAGGAAATAATATAGGATTACATTGAAGTACTAGATTTAAAAATTAAAAAATAAATGTTTTTAATAACTCATTTTTTTTAGGTTTCTGAAATTATTTCAAATTGAAATAATGATTCCTCATTATATAGTACAAATTCTCTAATCCTATAATGATTTTATCTCATGAAAAATAGTATTGATTAAATTTATTCTTTTTCTATGTTGATTATTTTATTTGATAAAATTTATTGTAATATATTAAAAAATATAATTTTTACATTAGTCACTTACATTCTATTGTTATTATCATAATCCCAAAATTAAATAAGTTTTGTGCGAATATTGATTAACAATTTCTAATTCTATTACTTATTTGTTTTAAACTCAATAACAATTTTTTATTTCTATTAAAAAAAATAATTAATGGCTTCTAAGGATATAATTTGTACATTTTAGGGAAAGTAATATTTTTTATAGTGCGAAGTCTTAAATGTAAAAAAAGAATTGCTTAAAAAACTAAATAACAAAATACCTTTTGATAATATCATTCTTATTGATGATTAAGATAAAGTATATACTGCATCGGTTGCTTTATATTAAACTAAAAATAATTAAATGTAGGGCTAAATTTGCTACAAGGTGTTAGATGCTCAAAATCTTTATAGGGAGTAAAAAGAATTGATAAAGATTACAGAAACAAAGTATGAAGAATTATTAGAGACTTAATAGAAATTATAAAAACTAGGGGAAGAAATAAAAGAAAAAGAAAAGTCGCATAAAATAGAAATATAATAATTAAGTGAAACAAATAAAAGTTAAAGTGCTGATATTCTAACAACAAAACAAGCAGAAATTGAAAAAATGAAAGCTGAAAAAGATAAAGAAATATAAGAAATTTAAGAAAAACATAATATACTTGAATTGTAATTAAATCAGATGACTAATAAATATTATGCTCAAGATGAGACTATTAGGTAATTATAGGATGAAATTTAAACATAAATAACAAACAATGATCAATTATAAAAAAAGAATGAAGAATTAAATAATGAAATAAATAAAATAAATTAAGAAAAAACTAATTTAGATTAACAATGGTAACATTGGTATGGTTAGTTAAAGACTTCAACAGATTCATAGATATATCAGTATTAAGTGGTCATTTAATAAGCATAATAAGCAAATAATGATTATGCGATGAATATAGCAAATTTATAACAGTAGATGTAAGATTTAGAAGATTAATTATAAATTACCAAAAAAGAGGCAGATAAATAAAAATAATTGTTAAAATAAGAAAAAGATAAATCCAATGATAGTTAAACTTAATTTGAAAATACTATTACATAATTAAATGATAAAATTAGAAAATATGAAAGAGATATAAAACAACTAAAAGATAAAAATACTGAATTGGAAATGAATTATAGGAATACACATATGGAAGTTTAAGGTGCAACTTCTACTCTCTCAAGTAAAGAAACAGAAAATAAAAAATTATTAAGTTAAATTAATTCATTAAAATCAACCATTTAATAATTGGAGTATGATAACTAGTAGTTATAAATTCATATATAAAATTTAGAGGCTAAAATTGTTGATTAGGCTTAACAAATATTCAATTTAAATTAAAATATAGATTAATTGAATGATTAAATTGATTAATTGAAGGAAGAAATTAGGAAAAAAGGATTAGAATCTGATAAATAAAAAAATGATTATAGAAGTTTATAATAATAAAAAGAATCAATTGATAGAGAATGTTAAGAGTTAAAAAATTAATTATAAAGATCAAAAGAAGAAATAGAAATAAAAGAAAATGGAGGATAAGTTATTTAAAATGAAATATCAAAACTCAAAAATTAAATCACTAAATTGGAAAAAGATATTAATGATCAAACTAAATTAAATTAAGAAAATTAAGAAAAAATTAGATAGTTTAAAACATAGATAACAACAAAAGATGGAGAGATAAGTAATTTAGAAATTAAATTAAATTAACTTTAAAATTAATTAAAATAAAAAGATGAATAAATTAGAAATGATTAAGCTGCTAATCAATAATTTAAATAATAAATGGATCTAATAAATTAAGGAATGAAGTCTGAGATAGAATAAAGTAATTAAAAATTAGAGATCAAAGATCATATTTTAAAGAAATTATCAAAGCAAATGCAAGATGATAAATATTATGATAAAGTTATTGGTTTAATGGATAAATTAATGTAATCCCCTAATAAAATTTACTAAATTGAAAAAGATTAGAATGCTTAGTTTGATTTGAAAGATTATGAAATTTTTGAGATTACTTTTGAATTTAATAAAGCAAAAGAACTTTTGAAAAAGAATTAATATTTTTTATTTGAACAATGTTTAAATAAGAATCCAAAGGGTAATGTCAAATTAAATAGAAGTATTTAACCAAATGCTGATTCTACATTTTTTAAGGGTTATTTAAGTATTGTAAAAGAGGCAGATTAAAATGAATTAAAAGGAAAATACTTTTTAAGAAAAGAATTAATTTCTTAAAATCATCCATTTACTAATATAGATGAAGCAATTGAAATGTCTAAAAATAATTTCTTATGTTAATTATTAATGGAATAATTTAATAAAATATTAAAATCATAAAAATTAATAGAAGGAGATTATCAAATTGCTAGATAGTTTGTTTTAAAGTCTAAAGGTAAATATTAAATTTATAATTATTATAGATAAAGAAGAATATTATTATTGTGAAATGGTTGAAGAAGGAGAATTTAAAAAGATTAATGGTGGAACATTTAAGCCTAAACTTAGTGAAACAGATTCATATTTCAATGCATTTTCTAAATTCGTCTATGCATTTTCAAAGGAAAATTATATTATCACTCATCTTTAAATTTGTGGAAAAAAAGTTCATGATATGATAGTAAGTACTACTTATAAAGGATTATTCTCAACTCTAGATTAAGGACAAACTGAAATTGGATCATTTTTAGAAACCATAAATAGTGAACCTAAAAATTTGATTAAATAACATTGGAATGAAACTGTAGAAGAAATTGCTAAGGAAGGATTTAAATGAGATAATAAATGTATAAAATATTCAAAATATCATTAAATTACATCATAAATTATTCTTGTTTTTAATTTAATATTAATTCATTTTAAATAATTATAATTTATTTATTTTTATTGTCTAATACAATTTTGGTTATTCAAAGGAATGAACCTTTCGATAAATATTAATCAACTTCAATTATCGTTATCTATAAAATAATAATATTTTGAATTAAATGTTGTTATTTATTATCCGAATAATTACTAATTTCTTATCCTTTTTTTAACTATGACCTTAAGCTTGTATTCCGCTAATTATGTTGAACAAAAAATTAGATTTCAATTTCTATAAAAAAATTATCTTTAAAGTTATTTCAATTCAAACTATAATCTATAGTTTATCAAGTTATTTTTAATTAACCACTTTTAATTAATGGGTAATTAAACATTTTTGAAGATTTTTTATTTATTTTATATTATAAATAATTTTAATTCAAATTTATACATTTTTCAATAACCTAAATTATTTTATCATATGATTCTATTCCTTTTGATTAAATGGCTCTCTTTTTCCTTATCAACTTATAGCATGAACTAATAGAAATAGAAATATGTAAAATAAATTATTTTACATATTTTAGATTTGGAAGTACTGTTGGCAAGTAAAATTATCAAATTTTAAATAGATGAATCAATTGAAAACTAGAAAAAATTGTAATTTCCCTAAATTATTCAATTTGTAAATTGAATAGAATACTTTCGAAACTTTTCTAAAAGTTTAAATTTTTTATCATTAATTGACCTCTAAAACATTTATATCTCAAAAAAATTTTATGATAATATAAGCTTAATAGGTGTTTTTCTAAAATTAATGAACTTATGTTTAAATTTTATCTATTAATTATATTAAAATTAAAAATAAAACATTTAACTATTATAAAGCAACTTAAAAAAGTTAAGAATAAAAAAATCAAAATCCAAAAAGATAGTTCATTATTTTATAATTAAATAAGATGATAATAAATAGGATAGAATATTCAAAGCATTAACTCAAACAATAACTGTGTTTTTAATTGATGGATTTATTAAATCTTATATTTTATAAATAAGCTTTGCCTGAAAAATAATCAACCTAAAAATTGGCTAATTTCTCATGATCTATAAAGTAGTATTATATTCTTTTAAGGGACAGAAATAATATATTTATCTGTTAAATTTGACTTTATTTATAAACTCATTCTTGTCATTTTGCGTAGTTAGATTTAACTATTATACAATAATTATGTTATTAATAATGAAGATTTACTAAATATAAGTATATAATTTTATGTAATTAACAACCAGCTATTCCAGAAATAATTATTTGAAAATCAAATGATTTATCCTTCCATCCAATTTAAAGGAAAGTATATTAAACTCAATGCATCTTAATTTACAAAAATATACTTAAAAGAGGTTAGAGAAACTCTAATTACTCCTTAATTGAAAGCTCTTGCATGCTTGTTAGTTTGAATTATCTAATTATAATTTATTTTTAAATATTTTAATTTAATAATTGGCTTCCAAATCTCTAACCTAAATTATAAATTTTCTTCATTAAAAGAATATAAAATAAACTGCAAAAATTTTTAAGTCTAACGGCGATAATCAAAATTTTGCAATATGTAAGTTTCTTTCAATTAATTGTTTCTTAATCTAACAATAATAAGAGAATTAGCTTTAAATAAATATTTTATTTTAATTTTACTAGAGAATCAAAAAAGATTTGAGAAATGATAATTACGCATTATTAGAGTTTAAAGCAAATTTGGATTTGAATTTTTATTTAAATAATAATAAAAGTTAACGAAGATGTCCAAAACACTTCTTGCATTATTGCTCATCTCCATGCTTGCTTTTAGCGCACAAGGTAAACTACACATTTATATTCACACTAACCCCCATATATTATTTATTTATTGACAAATTCATATCTCCTGACTCAACTGAAATAATATACTTTTAGCTGCCACAAGTAACAAGCATATCTCCAAACATCCTTAATCAAGCAGTAGTGATGCTTAATCATCATCAGAGGAAGAATCAGAAGAAAGCTCAGAACTTTTGGCTTAATCATCATCTGAGGAGGAATCAGAAGAAGAGGAAGAATCAGATGCATAATCATCATCTGAAGAAGAATCAGAAGAGGAAGAGGAATCTGACGCTTAATCATCATCAGAAGAAGAAGAAGAAGAGGAAGAAGAATCTGACGCTTAATCATCATCTGAGGAGGAATCAGAAGAGGAAGAGGAATCCGATGCTTAATCATCATCTGAAGAAGAATCAGAAGAAGAGGAAGAATCTGACGCTTAATCATCATCAGAAGAAGAATCAGAAGAAGAAGAAGAATCAGATGCTTAATCATCATCAGAAGAAGAATCAGAAGAGGAAGAAGAAGAAGAATCTGAAGCTTAATCATCATCAGAGGAAGAATCAGAAGAAGAGGAAGAAGAATCAGATGCTTAATCATCATCTGAAGAGGAATCAGAAGAAGAGGAAGAAGAATCCGATGCATAATCATCATCTGAAGAAGAATCAGAAGAAGAGGAAGAATCAGATGCTTAATCATCATCAGAGGAGGAATCAGAAGAGGAAGAAGAATCAGAGAGATGTATAAAATGATTTTATTTTAGTGAACTTCCGTTTACATTATGCTGAAGCAGCTGCCAGCACAACCACTCCTCCCCCAGCAACTCCAGCAACTCCAGCAGCTCCAGCCGCTGCAACCAAGAATGGAGCTATACTAGCAGCCAGTTTAGTCTTAGCCGCCATTGTTTTCTGATAAATATAAAGAATATTAAAAAATAAGTGTATCTATTTCACATAAGGGCAGATAAAAAGATCTTTTTCAATAATTCTTCATTTAAAGCGTTAAGATTCAAAAATAACTTTTGTTAATTTTTGTTAAGATAATTCAATAAAAGAATATCCTGATATGTATGAATAATTAGTAAACAATGATACAATTTAAGAAACAACAATTTATAAAGTTTAGAGCAATAGATTTATTCAGCCTTATTTATATAAACAACAATAAATTTATTTATATTAATAAACATTTATCTAACCAATGTTTAAATTAAGAGAAAAAATAAATAGTATAGCATAAAAATATTTTCCAAAATATGAAATGATCAATATTGCCATTTAGTTTAAAATTAGTAAATCTTATCAATGTTTAAATCTGTTTTTTTCTTTATTTAAATTTGTTATATTCAAAAATCCTTATAAAAATATCATTAAAATATATTCATTATTTAAGATTTCTATTATCAAATTCTAATATCACTAATCAATATATTTAGAGTTTGCTCTTATTTTTTAAACAAATAGGTTTAAACTCATTTGCTTTCTTCTTTCTTTGTTTTGTATTAAATCAAATTTTCCTAGTTTTTCTTCTTAAATCTATAACCGTTCAACTACATCAGAAGTTAATGCTCTGTAATTAGGTTTGCGATCTATTAACTATAATGTTTTCTAATATAATTATTAGTTTCCTCTATTTGATAGTTTCACTTATCCTTCAATATAAAATTATTTTTCTCTATAATAAATTTAACTATCTTTACTTTAATGAAAAGATTTAGTTTATCATTCTATTTGAAAATTAATTAATTTATTCATCATAGAGATTTAATAAGGTTTCTTCAAACTTTTTATTAATTTCATCAACTGAAGTTATATAAATTGGATCCAACTTAAATTTTCTATAATCTTAAAATATTGATTGGTCTAACCAATGATGGATCAATTATTTTATCATTTAATCAGCTGTAATTCCTTAAAATTTGCTTTTGTGAATATCTAAAACATCCTAGATTTTAGGTATGCTTTATATAAGCTTCAAAATTATATTGAGAGCATACTTCTCATTTTTGATATTGATTATTTGAGTGAAATTTTCTATAAAATTTTTAAATAGTTCAATAAGAGTATATTTTTAGGTAACTTTTTAGTTTACAATTGTTTAATAAATACTCTAGCATTCTCTTTCTCTTTAAATTCTATTGCTCTCTAATTTATTTTTCTTCTACACAAATATCTTACCAGATCTTTACATTTCGCTTCTTTAAGTTGCTATTTAAATGTTTGAGGAAGGTTAAGTATTTTGAGCATCTGTTAAAAGAGGAAGTTATTTTTTTACAATAGATTTTCTTAACTATTTAATTATAGAATTATCATTCTTAGATTCATTGGTTCTAAATATCTAAATATATTTGTGCTAGTTTTCATTCATATCTCTTATATTTAAATAATTATTATTAATCAATAAAATTATTTATAATATCATCATTAACACAACAAATAATTTGAATATTAGTAATTTTAAAGTTGTTTTGATTCTCATCTTATATTTTTCTAATAGATAATTTTTTTTTGGTACAAATTGATCCAAATCACATTCTATCAAATGAATTGTTTCTAATTATAAAGCAATTTTTTCTTTTGATAGCAAGATTAATTACCAAATTGTACACACTATAAAATCTCTCTCTTAATATTGTATTAAAATTATTTAATGAAACTAATTACACTTATAAAATATTAATTTGTAATAATAAAATAGAAATGGGATAATTTAAATTTTATTTCAAAAGACTTATATTATTATTTATGTGTTATTTCTTGTATAACAATATTAAAATTAATAAAGACTTCAATATTCATACAATTTAAGACTTATTTTAAATCTCTAAGTATTTAGGAGATTTATAGAAGTTACTATAAATATATTATTAAAGTTAAATAAAATAAAGAACATGGGGTAAATTTTAGAATAATGTTGTAAAAAAGGTGAAAAAAATCAAATGAAATCAAGTGTGGCTTTGTCTAATTAGAGTTTGGATGAACCTATTGAAATTACAGAAGAATTAATTCAAAAATTGAAATAATAATTAGATGATGTAAAAAAGAAATTAGGAGATTTTGAAGTATAAAATACATTCAATATAACACAAAATGATGTTTGGCCAATTAAAGTATATATAAAGTGAGAATTAGTTATTAGGAAGGGGTTCATTTGGAAAAGTATATTTAGTCAAAATTAAGGATAAGTTATATGCTATGAAACAGATTAAGAAAAAGTTAATATTAAAGAAATAATAGTTAGAAAATTTACTTTGTAAAATTATATTCATTTATAAGAAAAGATGAAAGATTCATTTTGCAAAAATATGATCATCCTTTTATCATAAAAATGTACTTTGTTTATTAAGAGCCTTTATTTATCAATATGGTAATGGAATTTGTATAAGGAGGAGAATTGTTTTATCATTTGAACAAACGTAAAAAGTTTGATTAAAAAACGACTGCATTTTTTGCATCTTAAATAGTTTTGGCCCTTGAATTTTTGCATGAAACAGTTGGAGTTGCTTATAGAGACTTAAAACCTGAAAATGTTCTACTCTGTAAAGATGGTTACATAAAATTGGCTGATATGGGACTAGCAAAAGATAATAGCGAATTAAATTATTCATTTTGTGGTACTGCTGAATATTTGGCTCCTGAAATGATTGAGGGTAAAATTTAATTTAAGAATAAGAGAAGGGACATAATTCATCAGTTGATTTTTGGACACTAGGTTGTATTATTTTTGAAATGCTTTTCGGTCATCCTCCATTTTAAGATGAAAATAAAAAAAATTTATATATAAAGATCCAAACAGGTGAGTTTAAGTTTCCACCAAATGCGAGTTAATCAGCATAATCTTTAATTAAAGGATTATTATAATACCATCCAGAAGAAAGATTAAATTTTACATAAATCAAATAGCATGAATTTTTTTAAGAAATAGATTTTGATTTAATATATAAAAAGAAACTAAAACCACCTTTTGAACCTTTATTGACAACTGAAAAGGATACAAGAAATTTTGATTATGTTTTGGAAAGTTAATTGAAATAATCTGAAATACCAAATATCCCTTTAGCATAAGAATTATTTTAAGATTTTCCTTTTTTGGCAAAATAGTAATTATAGTTTTGAATATAATATAAAATATCATGATTTTTATAGAAACATTTACACATTACATTATAAATATACTACAATTAAAAATGTTAAATAGGTTTTTTGCATTAACAAGCATATCTAAAAGATATAAATTTTATTCACAAAAAGAACAATATATCTTTTATTGATTACTTATTTTTAAATCTATTTGCTAATAGTATGTANTAACACAAAATGATGTTTGGCCAATTAAAGTATATATAAAGTGAGAATTAGTTATTAGGAAGGGGTTCATTTGGAAAAGTATATTTAGTCAAAATTAAGGATAAGTTATATGCTATGAAACAGATTAAGAAAAAGTTAATATTAAAGAAATAATAGTTAGAAAATTTACTTTGTAAAATTATATTCATTTATAAGAAAAGATGAAAGATTCATTTTGCAAAAATATGATCATCCTTTTATCATAAAAATGTACTTTGTTTATTAAGAGCCTTTATTTATCAATATGGTAATGGAATTTGTATAAGGAGGAGAATTGTTTTATCATTTGAACAAACGTAAAAAGTTTGATTAAAAAACGACTGCATTTTTTGCATCTTAAATAGTTTTGGCCCTTGAATTTTTGCATGAAACAGTTGGAGTTGCTTATAGAGACTTAAAACCTGAAAATGTTCTACTCTGTAAAGATGGTTACATAAAATTGGCTGATATGGGACTAGCAAAAGATAATAGCGAATTAAATTATTCATTTTGTGGTACTGCTGAATATTTGGCTCCTGAAATGATTGAGGGTAAAATTTAATTTAAGAATAAGAGAAGGGACATAATTCATCAGTTGATTTTTGGACACTAGGTTGTATTATTTTTGAAATGCTTTTCGGTCATCCTCCATTTTAAGATGAAAATAAAAAAAATTTATATATAAAGATCCAAACAGGTGAGTTTAAGTTTCCACCAAATGCGAGTTAATCAGCATAATCTTTAATTAAAGGATTATTATAATACCATCCAGAAGAAAGATTAAATTTTACATAAATCAAATAGCATGAATTTTTTTAAGAAATAGATTTTGATTTAATATATAAAAAGAAACTAAAACCACCTTTTGAACCTTTATTGACAACTGAAAAGGATACAAGAAATTTTGATTATGTTTTGGAAAGTTAATTGAAATAATCTGAAATACCAAATATCCCTTTAGCATAAGAATTATTTTAAGATTTTCCTTTTTTGGCAAAATAGTAATTATAGTTTTGAATATAATATAAAATATCATGATTTTTATAGAAACATTTACACATTACATTATAAATATACTACAATTAAAAATGTTAAATAGGTTTTTTGCATTAACAAGCATATCTAAAAGATATAAATTTTATTCACAAAAAGAACAATATATCTTTTATTGATTACTTATTTTTAAATCTATTTGCTAATAGTATGTATACTTTAAAAATTATTATCGTAAATATAATCTATTATCATTTTATAAAAATTGATTCTATAACTTATAATTTATAATAATGTAAAATTATTTTCAAATTTATTGTTTTATTTGAATTTTGATTAAAATTATATTTTTTTTCAAATTCTCCAATTAAACATTTAAAATTATGAACTATTATTTTTTTAATTCATAATTGCTTTTTATCTTTTTATAGATTGCTTAAATCCAAATAATAAAAGAACATTGTGAAGTCATCCATTTCTATGAATATTTGATCTATTAAAATAATTTCAAATTAATACATAAGAACATTAATTAACTTTTAAACTCTGATTTAAAATTTGTCTACTTTAAAATCCTTATATTGATTAATTTAATTTATTCATTATATATTAAATATTTATTGTATTTGATTTTGAAGATTTCATTTAATAACATTATTTTTTATTATTTCTAAAAAATAGTGTTTATAATTTTAATGATATTGTTATATAGTAAAAATATTTCATTTTTCTAAATAACCTGTGGTTGATATGTTGTTGTAATTAGATATTAAGAGAAAAATCTTAAACTCTCTAACTGAATGCTTTAATTCATATTTTGAGTAGTTATAATCAAGTCAAAAAATATATACATTTAAATTTAAACTGGAAGATAACGAGTTCTATTAAACTTGTCAATATAATAAATATATATAGTAAAATATAAAAAAATAATCCAAACAACTTAGTTAGGTAATTCAAATAAGACAATAACTAATCTAATAGATAATTGAAGAAAACTTTGATTACTTTATTATCAATATTGATATTTATTAAGTAAATCAAACAATTAAATTATGATTTGTTTATAAACCTAAAATATTATATAAATTTAGATAAATATTATTAATATTTAAATTATCTATTTATTATTATTATTATTATTATTATTCCAAAAGATTTGTTTGGAATTACTCTCAAAACATATTATAATAAAAACAATTGAGATAGTTTCACTTAAGTAACCTGAACTTATTTGAAGTAATTAATCAATTAATTTTTATCCTATAACTTTATATATATCTATTTCATTTTTATATTTTCTTAAAAATTCAAAATTTAATTTATCCAATTCTAAAGATGGTATTATTATTTTTGTTTAGAAATTCGATATTGTGTGTATTTAGATTCCTATAGTTTCTTAGTTATCTTAATTGTCATATATAAATCATATAAAGTGTAAATTTAACAAAAATGTTATTAAGCAAACTTATCAATAAAAAAAATTCTAAATTCTATTAATAATATTTAATGTTAAATTGTAAAATCATTTGCGAGATGCCTAATGAGGAAATTATTTATATTGATTGTGAACCCTAAAATGTAAAAAAAGAATTGCATAAAAAAATAAAAAACAAAATACCTTTTGATAATATCATTCTTATTGATGATTAAGATAAAGTATATAATGCATCGGCTGCTTTATATTAAACAAAAAATAATTAAATATAGGGCTAAATTTGCTACAAGGTCTTAAATGCTCAAAATCTTTATAGGGAGTAAAAAGAATTGATAAAGATTAAGGAAACAAATTATGAAGAATTATTAGAGACTTAATAGAAATTATAAAAATTAGTGGAAGAAATGAAAGAAAAAGAAATATTGCATAAAATAGAAATATAATAATTAAGTGAAACAAATAAATGTTAAAGTGCTGATATTCTAACAACAAAACAAGCAGAAATTGAAAAGATGGAATTTGAAAAAGAACATAAGTTTGAATCTGATTTAAATTAAATGACTACTAAATTTAATAATCAAGATGGAAATATTATATAATTATAGGATGAAAATTAAGCATAAAAAAAAAATAATAAAATATTATAAATAATGAATGAAGAATTAATTTAAGAAATAAGTAGAATAAAATAAGAAAAAATTTTTTTTGAGTAACATTTGAAACATTTATATAGTTAGTTAAAAACTTAAATGGAATCATAGATATATTAGTATTAACAGGCCAGCGAGTAAGCAAATAATGATTTCGCTATGAATATAGGAGATTTATAAAATTCGATTTCAGATTTAGCCAATTAATTATAAATTTCCATATAGGAGACAGATAAATATAAAGAATTGTTAAAATCAGAAAAAGAATAAGCTAATGAAAGTTAATCTTCATTTGAAAATACAATTTCATAATTAAATGATAAAATTAGAAAATATGAAAGAGATATAAAATAACTAAAAGATGAAAATACTGAATTGGAAATGAATTATAGGAATACACATATGGAAGTTTAAGGTGCAACTTCTACTCTTTCAAGTAAAGAAACAGAAAATAAAAAATTATTAAGTTAAATTAATTCATTAAAATCAACCATTTAATAATTGGAGTATGATAACTAGTAGTTATAAATTCATATATAAAATTTAGAGGCTAAAATTGTTGATTAGACTTAACAAATATTCAATTTAAATTTAAATATAGATTAATTGAATGAATAAATTGATTAATTGAAAGAAGAAATTAGGAAAAAAGGATTAGAATCTGATAAATAAAAAAATGAATATAAAATTTTATAATAATAAAAAGAATCAATTGTTATAGAATGTTAAGAGTTAAAAAATTAATTATAAAGATTAAAAGAAGAAATAGAAATAAAAGAAAATAGAGGATAAGTTATTTAAAATGAAATATCAAAACTCAAAAATTAAATCACTAAATTGGAAAAAGATATTAATGATCAAAATAAATTAAATTAAGAAAATTAAGAAAAAATTAGATAGTTTAAAACTTAGATAACAACAAAAGATGGAGAGATAAGTAATTTAGAAATTAAATTAAATTAACTTTAAAATTAATTAAAATAAAAAGATGAATAAATTAGAAATGATTAATTTGCCAATCAATAATTTAAAAGATAAATGGATGAAATAATTTAAGGAATGAAGTCTGAGATAGAATAAAGTAATTAAAAATTAGAGATCAAAGATCATATTTTAAAGAAATTATCTAAGCAAATGCAAGATGATAAATATTATGATAAAGTTATTGGTTTAATGGATAAATTAATGTAATCCCATTATAAAATTTACTAAATTGTAAAAGATTAGAATGCTTAGTTTGATTTGACAGATTATGAAATTTTTGAAATTACTTTTGAATTTAATAAAGCAAAAGAACTTTTGAAAAACAACTAATATTTTTTATTTGAAAAATGTTTAAATAAGAATCCAAAGGGTAATGTCAAATTAAATAGAAGTATTTAACCAAATGCTGATTCTACATTTTTTAAGGGTTATTTAAGTAGTGTAAAAGAGGCAGATTAAAATGAATTAAAAGGAAAATACTTTTTAAGAAAAGAATTAATTTCTTAAAATCATCCATTTACTAATATAGATGAAGCAATTGAATTGTCTAAAAATAATTTCTTATGTTAATTATTAATGGAATAATTTAATAAAATATTAAAATCATAAAAATTAAAAGAAGGAGATTATCAAATTGCTAGATAGTTTGTTTTAAAGTCTAAAGGTAAATATTAAATTTATAATTATTATAGATAGAGAATAATATTATTATTGTGAAATGGTTGAAGAAGGAGAATTTAAAAAGATTAATGGTGGAACATTTAAGCCTAAACTTAGTGAAACAGATTCATATTTCAATGCATTTTCTAAATTCGTCTATGCATTTTCAAAAGATAATTATATTATCACTCATCTTTAAATTTGTGGAAAAAAAGTTCATGATATGATAGTAAGTACTAATTATAAAGGATTATTCTCAACTCTAGATTAAGGAAAAACTGAAATTGGATCATTTTTAGGAACCATAAATAGTGAACCTGCAAATTTGATTAACTTACATTGGAATAAAATTGTCGAAGAAATTGCTTAGGAAGGATTTAAATGAGATAATAAATGTATAAAATATTCAAAATATCATTAAATTACATCATAAATTATTCTTGTTTTTAATTTAATATTAATTCATTTTAAATAATTATAATATAATTAATAGTATTTTGAATAAATATTATAATTATATTTATAATAATGTTAATATTTATATAGTTATGTTTCATTGATACTATTAAAAAGAATGAAAATATCTGTTGAATAGTTATTCTTATATTTTATAAATTTAATATAATAATTTTATAACAAAATAAATATAGAAATTTCAACTATATCATAAAGGATTAGTTATATTTGCTAATAAGATATAATAAAATAACATACCTATACAATCTAATGTAAATTCATCAATATATCCATTCAAACAATAACAACTGCTTCCTTATTATGTAAATGTATCTTCACATTTCAAACATGTTACTTAATCTAAACATTTCTGACAACCCATAGGACATAATAAACATTTTTATTATTCGATGTCAAATATATAACCATCATTACAATTTTGATTGTATGAATTCTATTCAATTATCCATTCAGTACAATCATTCTAATTAGGACCAATACAAGTTTTGCATAAAGGTTAACATCTTTAGATCATAATATTTAGATTTGAGATTCCAAAACTGAAATAAGTATCAACTTATGAAACAGACATCATTACAAGACTTAAGTTCTATTTTATATG